CAGAGGAAAAAGCTGGTGGAACACTCATCTGCATATCTGGGCCATTGCCCACATGGGCCCCCAGCCAGATGACTCTGGCATCCTGTGCAGGGGATGCTTCCCATGCAAGCCTTTATTTGAGAAAGAAGGCAAAACAGCTCTGCAGAGAGCGGTTCCATGCAACTTTGGGTGTATGAGAAAAGAAGCTGCCCTTGGTCTGCAAACCAAGAGACAGAGCTGGGCAGTGGGAGAAGTTTCTACATCTTTTTTTTTTTTTCCTGGTCAATGTTAGAGCAGAGTGATGCTCAATAACAATGGAAGAGTGAATTAAAGAGAAAGACACACATGATGATGTAAGGGTGCAAAAACAGAAAACATTTAAAAGGAAGAAATTTATTGTTATTTTACAACCTAGCAAACTCTCAGCATGTTCTTCCATCGTAAGTTTCTGAAATGTTATGTGGAAATTGTTAGTCTTCTCCATGAATCAGATCAGTTAATGACCTCAAGATTTTATTACCAATGGCATTTAACTCTAAAATTGTTAATTCCCGGAGAGAGAGAAAGTTGTGACAGATAACATTTTACACTTTCAGAGAACTTTCAAACGTGTCAAATGTACCTAGGAAAATCATAAGATTCTACCTGAACTTTTCAAGTCACTTCATGTCAATGTTTTATTTTGTTTTAAGTAACTAAGGAACTTGTAACTATAAACACTGCATAAAATCACGATTGACACCACTGAAGTACTCCATAATTATGATAAAATTGTTTATGTTTAGTCCGTCTAAGCACTCAAGGCCTTCACCATAAATGTGTACCTCTGCAAAGCTTAGAAACTATGCAGTAGAAAGCAACTGATCATTCTTAATTGTTTCAAACCTGCTTCTCCACGCAGCTGCACACACGTGTACTAATCTAATTGTTAGTTGCACCTGCTCCAAGTTAGCAATACTTCATAGAGCACATGGCAAGAATGGCATTTTCAAGTGTTAATCTGTTCAGTGTAAATTTGTACTTTCTTTCAAAAGTTTATGACACATGGGCTTTGCATCATATAGGAGTCTGAGGTACAAAAATGTGGGCGGTTTAGAATTTCCTTACTTGAAAGCAAAGCTGTCTTTTCAAACTAAAATAAATTATGCTTCTCCAGATTAGAGCTGATTTTTCACTGAGAACTATCTGAGATATCTGAGTGTTTTTTCAACATTTACAGAAAGTACTTTTTGATTCAACCAAACACTGAAGAAAAATAGCAGAAACTCTTTCACAAACTGCTGAAAGCTGTAAATAAGAAGTTAAATTGTTCTTGTCCTGTACCACCATAACCATCCTGCAAAAGCACTGATGCTTTTGGTAACTATCTAACATCTTCAGTTTCTGAGCATTAAGGACGGAAATGATAAAAAGAAAATTACCTTCTTCAGATTATGAGCTTAGACTCTGGATTCTGCAAATGCAGCAAATCTGTTTCCAGAGGTCACACCCCCTTTTCATAAGAATCACCCTGAAATCTGAAGTTGGAGTAATCATATAGCTCAAAGATTTTAGTGAATGATATATACAGATATGTTTTTCATAAAATGGAAGTTTTGTACTAAATTTCTATAGCATGAGATTCTAATTTCTTGTCTTATGAACTGATTTCCTGATTTTTCAAAAAAGATAATGTTTATCCAAACTTGTCTGCCAAACATAAAATTAAATGAACATTTAGCATAATTAAAAACAAAGATATAGAATCCTGACAGGAAAATTTCTCTGCACCCTTCGTCTCTGTCCTTCACTTGTTAAAGGATCAGAACACTGTGAATATACTCTGATAACATACTGATAAATGAGGTTCTCATCTCCTACTAAGTTTAGTTTCAAGTTTATGTAGACATACATAGTCCTTAAAGTCTAGTTAAAACACACTCTACTTACAGAATGGGAGACAAATGTTTCTAGAAAGTTAATAGTTACTTAACAAAGAAAATCAAGTTTCTATCTTAAACAATTTTTGGCTTTAATTAATTTTAATAAATCTAAAATTTTCTGCACAGCTACAAAAAAGCCCAAATGTTACTACAATAGACACTAAACACTTCCGAAGTAAACAAAACTTGGTGAACTGTTGTGTCAAACAATGTTACATTCTGGAAATCTGGCTATACATAAAACAAACTTTACTCATAATAGCTCAAAGATACATAAAGTTTTCAAAAATCTATCAAGAACAAAGGAAACATAAGCACCCACCTACTGTGTGTGCACACATGCCGCTGGCCCCCAGGTGCATGTTCTCCCAGTGTTTTGCAACTATTTGCAAAAGAATTATTTTATTTAAAATTAAATACTATATTTCTAAGAGGCAACAATTAACAGTAATCTCTTGAGTCCTTTAAGGGTGATCATTTCACCCTATCAAACCAACTGGGTGTTCTTCGTCCTTTGTTTTTTTCTTCTGCATCTGCATTAACATGGCTGCTAATTATATTAGTCTAGTGGCACAGAAAGTCTGAATGGGAAAAATCACAAGATTCTTATAGAGCTTAAATACCTCTTCAGATTCAAACATATACTTGCTTAAACACTTTTATATCACAGCTACTTCTATAGTGTTAGAGAACTTAGCTTAGATTCAGAATTTCTGTTTCATAAGGGATGTAACACCTTTCCAATACACCACTGCATATATGCATGCACACAAATAAGCACGCGCGCGCACACACACACACACACACACACACACACACACACACCGTTTAGCCATATTATGCTACTTTGTATATTGAGCTTCCCATTTGTATATCTGTGTTTTTCTAAAACTGTTTAAGTTCTTGAAGAGTTTGTATTCATCACACAAAGTGCCGTATAGATCGAATGACTACATTAACCATAATAAAGCCTAAATGTTAGCTAAACCACATTTTAGAATTCAAAATTGAAAAGAGCATAAAAATGCTCTTACCCACCCACTCATTCTCACAGCTTCATATGCTTTTACACAGTGAATCAGCAAATGTATTCTTTTCTGAATCATATACGAACTTAAGAATGTTTTGAAAATGTTTATACAGTTTGGCATACCTGGTCTTACTGGTAGTTTACCAAAGTAAGCTCTCTAGTTGTTCTGATCAGCTTTATCATTAATGGTAAAACCTTTAATGCATAACTTAATTGAACATGTGGTACAGAAAAATAAACTGTTTTACAAGTAACTAAGAAAATGTAACAATCTTAAAATTATAGTTCCATCTTCTTTTTCTTACAACCCAGTGCATAAGTAATTCACAAACCAAAATATACATCATCAGATAACTTTCCTGGGGAATAAAAACATCCTTGAGATAATATACAACTAAAAGTACTCCTTCAGCTAAATATTAAAGAAAACAACCACCACCACTCATGAGCTTCATGACAACTGATAAACAGTGAAGAACACATTAGTTTCAATAGAAAATCCTTACTCTTTTGATTATTGATTGGGCTCTCAGAAATCTCCAGTCTTGTAGTTCTTTTAGCCTTTATGAAACAATTGTTGGAAATGTGAATGGCTATTCAGATGAACTTATACTTTCCAAGGAAAGCTGTTGGTAACAGGAGTAAGCAAGTACTTCCTACCTCAAATTAACCAGTAAAAGTGGTTTATTTTTCACCTCTAAACTATCCTCAACTCCTCCTCTTATCGCCCTTAAGGAATTTAAATTCAGAGACATGACGTTTTCCTCTATTGGCACCTTGCCTCTTTGAAACTGTACAACATTCCTCAAGAAGTATATATAATTCTCCATCCCATGGGATCAGACAACAATATCTATTTCAGAAGCAATTACATACATAATGTAAGATACAACATTTTTTCTTAGAATTGTTTTTATCAATAATAAGTGTGATTTCAGGGCTACTGGTTCAGTCTATAGCAATGCTGTTGCTCATCCAAGTATTTCTCTTCAATCTACATACTTTTAAAACTCAGTGTATCCTGTAGATCAGACAGCTGTAAGGATACCATCTGCACTACACAGTGGTTTGTTAGAGCCTTATACTTATCAGACAATATATACCTTGAAAAATAATACACGTCAATGAAGAAACAAAGATATTGCAAAAATTAATATATAGAAGAAAAGTTAAAAAAAAATCTATTCTGTTTTAACACCTGTATAGTAAATTGCATGTGACTATCACGTTGTTACATTAATAGGAACGCAAAGCATAAAAGAACAAGAGCTACCTCCTGCTTTGCTTAAAGAAATTAAAGACAAGTTTAACCCGAACCTGCCAAACTGTCCTCAGAAGAAAAGACATAGGTGGGGGCGGAAAGCCTCACCTCTCCTGTACCCCGCAGCGCGTTTCCCTGAAAGCATGTTAAACATAGGCAATATATCTATCACCTTTTCTTTTTTCTTCTGTTCTAATCAACGGCAGACCTTTTACTGCACCCCCCTGCCCACTATCTCAGCGGAACGTTAAAGAACAAGAGGACCCAAGTGTCACTTACCAGTTGCATGCCACAGATAAAGATAAGCGTGCACCTGCCACTGCAATAACCCATGGTTTCCGAGACCCCGGCCACAGCCAGACTGTCCCACGTCGGCCACCGTCGAGCCCCCACTTTATCCAATCAGATCGCGGGGAAGGACGGGCAAACCTGCCGAGGGCTCGGGGGCTCCGGGCTGCTGCTGCCAGCGTCCTGGGAAGTGACAGGCATTAGGACCTGCTGGCGCGGCGGTGGCGGCGGCAGCTCCAGCCGCGCCCGCCACACATACCTTCACTCGCTCGGTGCACACGCCGCGCCGCGGGAGGCGGCGGCGGCTGCAGCGCGCAGAGATGCGGGGTCCGCGCCGCGTCCTGCAGCGGCGCTGCCCCTCCCTTCGCCCAGATGTGTTAATCCTCCTACAGCAAATCCTTCAACCTGCGCCCCGCGGCCCCCTCGCAGAACGTCGACTTCTTCCAGTCCGGCCGGGGCTGCAGCCGAGGGGACCGCTGGCGGCCGCGGCAATGGGGACGCTGGGGTCCGCGGAGCGGAGAGTCCGAGCGACGTGTCCGGAGCTTGCTGGGCTGGTGTCGGTCCTGCTCGCGCAACCGAGCCCGGAGCACTGCGCGCGAGTCAGCCGCTCGTGTGCGTGTGTGTGTGTTTGGGGAAAAGGGGACGAAGAGGAGGGTTAGGGACGGAGGACGGGTGATGAAATAGTGCAGCCTGGCATCCCCGCCGGCAGGAGAGCCCGCGTTGCAGAACGCTTGGAGGAGAAGGGACGACGCGCTTGCCGACGCGCTACTAGCCGCGCCCGGCACCCGGCTCCCGCTCCCAAGGATCTGCAGGGGCTGGAGCGTGGAGAGTTACGGAACAGACCCTGCGCGGGAAAAGGCACCGGGTTGCTTCTGGAGTTAGTGGGAAAATTGGGAACTGGGGTGGGGTGCGCTGGGCGGGGGGCGCTTAGGGACGCAGTGAGTTGCTGTAGCTGCTTCAGATGTTTGTTTTCACTCTAGAAATGAGAAGATCTGAGACAGTTTCCGCACTCAAGTATTTCAGCCTCTGGGGCCGTCCCGGCTGGATGTGGATTCCTGGAGGTGGATGCACCAGTCCCGGGTCTGGAACGCCGGGCCAAAGCTGTGCCTCTGCTCCGGTAACCTGCGGAGACACCCGCTTCGGAGCCCGCTGCTGCCACCTGCGGGTGGAAAGCTGAAGAACAGCGAAGCAGGCTGGTCCAGGTGGCGTCCCCAGGGGCTTGGGTGTCCGGATCCAAGGGTAGTTTGTTTTTCTGTGTTTTTTTTTTTTTTTTTTTTTTTAATAGCCCTGAGCCACTTGTTAAAGCATTTCTACCTTTCCCAGGAAATGAAGGTGTGGTGTAGAGATCCGCTGAGGTACTGAGTCTTTGGGATGAAGGAAAGAGAATGGTTTAAGAAACTTGAATAGCAATTGTCTTCCCACATCCCCTTGAGGAGATTAAGACTGTTGAAAGCACATAAAGCAAAGAGCTTTCCCTAGCAAATGAAATTTGGCCCTACTGAGAAAATAGTATTGTGTAGGATAATTTTATGCTTGGAACTACAAATAAGGATCCCAAATGATTGTTTCCTTTGAATAAATATGACATCAGAATGACGAAATAAATTGAATAGGGCATAGGGACCCTGGTCCCAGAAGCCTGGAACTGATTTGTCAGTTGTAGACAGCCAAAAAGATATTTGATTTGTTATATTTATAGCATATGAATATTTTGTTACTATACTGAAATGCCTACTTTTAATTACCCTACTTGTAAATAAACTATTCTCTGAAAAGTGTCTATTCTCTGAAAAGTGTCTTTCAACGTTTAATTAAATGATCAGAGGCCAATATGTGCTCTTTCCCATGGTAGGGCCTAGCAAGCACAACACTTGATAAAACTGAAGCCAGAGGTATCTGGTGGAAAATGTTTCTTTCAGCTGTTACTCTGTCTTTATACACAGTTTAGATGACCAGTAGCGGCTGGGAATGTAGATATTTTGTAGGTAGGTATTGTCAAGCAAAAAGAAAACTGTAAGTTAATACTCTAATGCTTGAAGAAGCTGCTGGCATACTATGAAAAGCATTATGTTACCTTTTAAAATTTATAATTGCAACAGTGTTCTGTGGAGTCAGCTATAATCCTACAGTGGTTTCCCTGCAACCAGCAACAGCCCAAGTGGCCTTTAGGCTGCACGGGTAAGCAGACGGCATAATGCTGTCTGTAGCTGAGTGTCAGCACCCCACCCATAGTCCTCGTATTCTTGCCATTTAGAACATGCCCATCTTCTTTCTGTAAGCACCTGGGACTGCTGCAGGCTTGTTCTGCCCACAGGTGTTTGGCTGGGAGTGAAGGTACAGCCTCAAGAGCAACCCTCACCCAGTAATGGATGAGAGCTGGAGGATAAATTTCCCAACCTTCTCAGCCCAGAGATGTGAAACCCTGAGACATGCTCTTGACTACATTATTAATTTCCTCACCAGCCTGGAGCCCATGGTGCCCACAATTGCCCATGCTGGTAACCCACTCATCCGTCCTCTCTGATTCAGCTTCCTTCCCTTTTGCCTCATCTCCCTGCTGCTCCTCTTCCTGAGATCATCCAGAAATAAACCACTTCACTCAAATCCTGTGTCAGGGCTGCCTCCGGAGAAGACCAGCAGAAGGCAGTCTTTAGGGGTTTTTAGTCCTGATCTGACGTCATTGGCACAGTGTTCTCAGAAGAGAACCAAAGGCATGTTCAGCGTTACACCCACTATTGCACTTACTGTGTGCACCCACTGCCTGACATGCTACCCCTAATCATCTCATTCATTACTCACAGGAAACCGGTGAGTTGTGCAATGCTCATTTTAAAGGCACCCTTGTATATAGGGTTTTGTACTATCCGTGGTTTCAGACATCTGGGGGTCTTGGCACATCTCCCACAGATAAAGAGGAACTACTATTTCTTGATCACAGATGCACATGTTCTCTGTGGCAGAATTAAGAGTGTGGTGAAGGCATGTCTGTGAAACATCAAAATCTGCTTTTCTGTTTTCTCATGTTGGTATTTTACTGTACTTACTTGTCAGTCTTTTAGAATGCCATACAGAAGTGATGACTTAAAATATTTAGAAGGATGATGACACATATTTTGTTCTCCTTTTTTTCCCAGCTTTATTGAGATCACACTTTATTATCTGTAAACTTAATTCACACAACTTTAGAAAGCATATAGGCCATGCCTGCCTTATGAAAATGTGCTGTAGTTGGGGAGACAGTTCCATTTCTTAAGCTTACGGTGGCCGTGTCCTTTCTATTCCATTTCCTGTTATCTCTGGAGCCTTAGGGGAAAAGACTAAAGACAGAATTCCAACTCTCCGACAAATGTGCATGAAAGAGAGAGAGACATCTCAAATTGGAATGGTGGTTGCACTTTCATTCAGAAATAAAGTCACATACTATTCAGCTCTGTAATGTTCTCAGGGCTTTTGTTGACTAGTCTGGTGATACAACTATTGTTAATTATCTTGTTTCTGTGGGGAGGATGCTAAGGTCAGCCACATCTCTAAGGCTGACCTTGGTATCCTGGGCTAAAGCATTTTCAAGGTTGTTTCACACCTGTTATCTCATTTATCTGCCTGATAGAATGTACTAGGTACACAGCCATGGAGTGAGTTGTCGTTTGCTCAACACTCAGTCACTTCAACAGGAGCAAAAGCTCAAGTCTAGCTTTGTAATACCACTGAGCAATTTCACTCTGAGTTTTACTCGGTCTCCATTTATATGGTTTGAAAACACAAAGGCAGCAATTAAACTTTACAGTCGCAAAACCAACAAATTTAATTTACTGTATATTTACACAAACTTAGATTTGTTTTTCTTATTTGGAAAATAAATAGCTATTAGGAAACTATTTTCGAAATAAATTTAAAAGGAAAATAATCACTCATAATCCTTCCATCCAGAGATAATCTTTTTGTCATTTTTGCACATTTTATTTTAAAAAAAATGGGATTATATAATACATAATATATATGTAATCTACTTTTTTCACTTAATAGATTAAGAACATATGTCTAAATTATTAACTATTAAACTCATGGACTCCGCAGTCAGTTTGACTGTATAATCCAAGCTCTGCCACTTAGCAACTGTGTAACCTTTAGCAAATTGTTTCACTCTCTGTATCTTAGTTTCTTTGTAAAAGGAGGCAGGGAGTTATAATGCATACATAACATAGGTTGTTGGGAGCATTAAGTAAAGCATTATGTAAAGCTTTTAAAACAGTGCCTGGCCCATAGTTAATATTTTCCCATTGTTATTTATCATTATTCTGTATACAACATAGCTTTAATGGCTGCATAACATCCCAATGTAAGCAAATATCCCAGTTATTTAATTCATATCTTTCTTAGACATACAAACTTTATGGTGAGCAGACTAATGCACCCTCAAATATGTCCACACAGTAATCCCTAGAACCTGTGAATATGTTACCTTAAGTGGCAAAAGAGATTTTTGAATATGTGATTACATTAGGAATCTTGAGATGGGATGAACAGCCTGGACTGTTGAGGCTTAATGTAACCAGTCAGCTCTTAAGAGCTGAGAACAGCTGGGAGGTGGGGAGAAAGAGAAGATAATGAGGTCAGGGAGATGCAAGGTGAGAAGACATTCCACCCACCATTCCTGGATGTATAGATGGAGAAAGTAGCTTATGATCCAAGGAAGGTAGGTGTGTCCTCTGGAAGCTCGAAAGGGTAAGAAACAGGATCTCTTGGCTTCCAGGAGGAAGACATTCATGCCTACAACTGGATTTCAGCCAACTGAGACCCATGTCAGATCTCTGACCTAATACAAAATGGTAAGACAATTAATGTGCTATTTTTAAGCCACTAAATTTGTCTTAATTTGTCATAGCAGCAGTAGAAAAATCAATACAGTTTGCTTCCAGTGTTTCAATATTATATATTTTATAACATTTAAATTTGTAGGCATGTCATCACATACATTTTGATTATTCCCTTATTATATATTTCTAGAAGTGAACTAGTGAGACAAAGAATGAGCAAAATCATAATGCTTTTGATAAACAAATCCCAATTTCCTCAGAGGATTTCTACAGATTTACACCTGTAGGGAACGCGCTTGCCAGCTCCCCTATGCCTTTATTGGTAATGGACACTATCATTTTTAAAAAAACTTTCTCACCTTCCATTTTAACTTTGCATGTCTTTTATGCAGTGATTATTGATTAAATACCTAGCACATATGCTAAGATGAACTGTGGCCTAGAAATATATCACATTGACTCTCACTTTCCTGTGATGATTCCTCTTGAAAGTTCAGGTCCATTTCTAATAATAATATCTAATGACAGATTCTACAGTACAGGCCATAGCAACAAGAATTCACTTATCTCTGTGACCAAAATGCCAGCCTTCAGAGATGCTGATAAGCCAAGATGACAGATTATGCCATGATAAGGACAAAGAGCTGTTTGAGTAACCAGCCATGTTTTTGTGTTAAATGCCATTTGGATTATATTTCTCTAAATTATTTTAATTTGTGATTTATGTGAATTTTACTTAGAAGATCAAGTAAAATACCATAAATATGCTGAGGTTTTGGTACCTATTTGCTGGAGAAAAACTGCATACATTAGCTTGAATATTATTAACTTGAACATTTTATCATATTTACCATGAGATATTTTAAGGCATATTAATATAATTATTTTATAAAAAGGCTCAGTTATTATTTTATTAATTATCCCATAGAAGACATGCAACTTTAGGAGAAAAATATCTAAGAGATAAGAAAATCTGTATTGTCATCTTTTTATTTTCCTCTAAGTTGTATTGATTTTTTCCTTCAACTTCAAGAATTGAGAAATAAGTTTGAGGATAAGCTAGGAGCTCTAGTTTCTATTTTTGTGTAACAATCTACTCTGAACATAATGGCTTTGAATAGTGATTTTATTATGCTCAAGGGGTCTATAGGTCAGGAATTTGGAGAGGGTTCACTGGGGAAAGTGTCTCAGCTCCCCACTGTCTGGCGCTTCAGCTGGAAAGGATTTTAAGACAGGAGATAGCTCTGTGGCAGGGGCAGAGATCACCTGAAGATTCACGCACTCACAAGTCTGGCACCTGGGCTGGAAGGACTTGAAGACCTGGAAGGTGGCGGAGATCACTATGCGTGGCCTCTCTTGTAGCGGGGCTTCCTCAAAGCATGGCTGCCTTGGAGTGGTCGAGGCACTTCTTACATGGAGGTCAAGGGCGCCGCGCACAAGGTGCCAGCATACCAGGCAGAAGCTGCACTTGCTTTTGTCACCCTGCCTCAAACGTCACCCAGCTCCACTCCCACCATAGTCTGTTGGCTCCAAGGAAGTCACAAGTCCACTCTACTTAAAGAGGAGTGGGACATCTAGGTGCCCACCCTCACGAATGGAGGAATGTCAAAAGAGGTGAGGGACAAGTTTTCAAACCTCTGTTTGAAAAACTGAACTATAATTAAAGGGAACTGAAAATTGAAATAAGTAAAAATTTAAATGTAGATATCAATGCTATTTTGTCACAATAAAAACAGTTAGCTTGATACTAATATCTCCGAGAAACCAGTTGATTGAATATGAAAGAAAGTGATGCTCTGAATTAACTAGAATAAGAATTGATTCATGGTAATTTGACTTTGGGTTTCAATTTTGTGGAGAAGGGAAGAAGAATATATTTCATCCATTCAAAAGACTTCACAGTCTCAAAAGCCAGTTAAAAGCTGAGATTCATTTC